TGTATAAACAAGTGATTGACTACGCTGGAATGCCGCATTTTGAAATTGGAATTAAAGCCCGGTTGGATTGTCTGGAAAAGATGATTTACTCCAAAATTGGCACTCCTAATTACTCCACCAATTAATCGATTTTTCCGATAATTGTTAGCTAGCGCTCTAGTTGTTGACAATCGCAACGGTGCTAGCTAACAATTATTGGAAAAAACGATTAATTTTCGGAGTAACTAGCAGTCCAAATTTCGGAGTAAATTATATTTTCCAGATAATCCATCCGGGCCTTAAATTTACGTCGTATTTTATATCTCCGCCCAAAACAGTAAGTACGATATTAAATTATTATTGAAGTAAATCAAGTAAACATCACTGACAAATTTTTGAAGATATTTTTAATAACTGTTAATTCGTTGAAACACAAATAATCAGCAGTCGGAGTCTTTGAAATCAGCTCGTCAAAAATCCCAGTCAGTGGAATCTGAGGCATCGAAGAGCTCAGAGTTATTAAAAGGGAACCTGGAGGGATTGAAGGAGAAGGTACATGGAGTTATCGACGAGGCAGGAAAAACGGAGCTGCGTAAAAAAGCTGGGCAATTGGGTAAGGAAATTTCAAAATCTGCGAAGGGAGCTGCTGAGACGTTATCAGAAAAAAGTCAGGCTTTTGAGATGACCAATGCTTTTCAGACTATATCACAGATCGCAGAAGTCGTTAGGAAAGAATTAGACAATCATGGGATTCAAGGACGAGTCTATGTACTATTGACTAAATTGAGAAAACGAAAGGAGATATTTGAGAGTGAACAGAAAATGGTTGAGGCTAATACAGAGGCGACCGGTGTTCTGGACAAGGGGAATAGTTCAACATCAAAATTTGATGGAAATAGTGGCCAGAAGTGAGTTTATGAATGATTTCTTTCGTATTGCTTTTACTCCACACTTTTAATAATTTATTCCACAGACTAACGTGTGGAATTATCGCGAGATCTTCAGGAGTTTTCGAAAATATGAAAAGAATTTGTGCCTGCGATGGGAAGACCCTGTGGGATGAGTGAGATGAGTCTAAACAAAAACATTCATTCAAAAATACTTTCATATATCCAGATAAATTCACCATAGCCTCTTCAGGAGTCTTCGAAAATATGAAAAGAATTTGTGCCTGCGATGGGAAGACCCTGTGGGATGAGTGAGATGAGTCTAAACAAAAACATTCATTCACAAATACTTTCATATATTCAGATAAATTCACCATAGCCTATTACTCGTAGTATTTACCGATTGAATACATATTTAAAAGTCAATGTTTTGTGTGTCTTTTCAGTGTGTGTGGATAGTGCACTTTTTAATAACTACTATAAATTTATTTCTGTATGCAGGTCATGTAAAAGTCATATCATTCCATAATATTCCTGATTAAACATTTTTATATTTCAGTTTTTACTTATGAGGAGGGCTGAAGGTATTTATAACTCAAATAAAAATGTAATATAAACCCATAAATAAATGTTTATTGTGTTCGATCAGATTGATTTAATTCGTAATTTATCATTTATCAGTGTGCGTGACGTAAAAAAAATAATATTAATCCAAAAAGGTATGCGAATAACTAGGAAAATTCGATCGAATGAGAATAAATCATTCGTTATCAGAACCACTGTCGTCAGAATTAGTTCTGCCTCGAATTGTTTTTGATTTCTTGTTTCCAAAGAGTAGATTCGACGGCTTCTTTCGCTTTTCTGGTGGATTCAACAGGTGACCAGTGTATGATATTGCACCAGACTGGGCTATTCTCCACTCCATCATCTCTGTGGAAAAATCGTCGCAATTTCCGAGGTCCGTGAAACCTACGATGTAGTCTTTTGTCTTGTTGTCTGAGATGAGAGCTATCGTGGGAATTATTTTGATCAACATTATGGAAATAGCTTTAAGAAAACTTGGGCGGCGAAAGGTGTTCACTGCTGGATAACCCCCTGTTGACGATTTCGGTTTCCTCTTAAGCTCTCGCATTTTGTCTACCTTCACCTTTCCTTAAATGCATTATCTTTCTTCAGGTCAAGAATTGATCCAGGAATTCATCGACTTCTGTATCTCCCGATAAGAATTTCTCAGCTATTTTCTCGACACGAAGGAGAATACAAATAAAAATGACAATTATCATTTGATAATTGTTTATATAATTGCTTAAATAATTACTTCCGATTCTTTACAGCCTTTCTTTCAGACAGTTCATGTAATGCTTTTTTATTCTCCTCGAGTTGGGGTTGCTTTTCTAGATTGACTTCGGCCAGAGAACGATTTCCAGCGATCAGAACTTCCTTTTCAGATTCCAATTCTTCAAACTTGGAAACCTCACGAAAAGTTGGTAAGTTGCATATCTAATAATAAGACAAGAAAATAATGAGACAACCGCCTTATTATCCATTTATTGTCATCGATTAAATAATTCACCTGTTTTATGTCGTTGACAACTTCCTCGAATCTTCCATCATCGTTCAATATTTCTCTCGAATCAGTGTTGCTGAGATCATTCAACATCGACATTGCAGCTAGAATATCCATAGAAATTGATGAATTTATTATTAATTCATTATTATTTATTATTAATAAATGTCATGGTTCTTTTTTTATTCCAGGTTTTCAAATCATAACAATTTCCCATTCATTGACTTAGTGGATTAGGCCTATAGGGGATACCACTTTAAAAAAAACGCGTCAAGGACTCTACCTCTTGGGTGGCGTGGAAAGAGTTTCACTTTAATTACTTGATTTATGAAAAAATAGTCTCAACTGGGGAAGAATCTCTCGTATTGAAATAATCATATACCCATTGTTCATTTATGCTTTTGTAGACAATTTTTATGGCATACTTTTTTTTTTCATGTCAATTTGAAAGAAAAAAAATCAAACGACTGGACTGGCATTCAAATGTAACCGCCAAAGCTTGGCAATACCTCCTTCCATCATACATTAGACACTCCCATTGCGTGTGGTGCCCTCCCTCTTTTGGGGTGCAGTACTAGGATGCCGCTGGGATCACTCCAACCTCAAGAATTGAGTCTCTACTTTAGTCAATCCTCTTTGGGCTTACCTTACGGGCTTCAAACAATAATAAATACCGTTAGGATCTCTCATCATGCTCCAGACTGAAAACGACCATCAGTGGAATCTGATACTCTGTATCAGAGCATTTAGAAATCTTATCAATTAGGTACGATTATCGATAAGGCGAACCATTTTTTGCTCATGGCCTCGTAACACTAAATTCACCAGTACGATGACACCTAAAATCCATTCAAGAGCAGATCCTCAGTCCAATATTGATTCCAGTGATGGGAATACGTAAGTTACTCTTATTCAAATATGTTTGAAGAGAAATGTCCATGAATTAATTAATTAATTAATCTTCAAGTGGTTGGTGGCTTCTATTTATGGGGATTCTTGTCCTCACCGCTGCTACAAGATTTTACAAAGTGTCGGAGCCCCAACATGTGTGGTAAGATTTTTATAATTTTTTTTTTAACTATTCAACTAAATGAATTCTGTACTGACTGGTAAACTAGTAAATATCTGTGAAACTTAAGATGATAGTCAAATTTTCTTCATATAAAAAAAATACACCGTTTCCGCATTTTATCATTATTTCATTTTCCTCCATTATTTCTAAAATTTTCAAGAGTTGATGAATCTTCAGAAAAAACACAAGAAAATTATTGCACTCTGATGAAACTTTGTGAGTCATGAAATAGTATATCTTCGGGTCAATCCCATCCAAGATTTATTGAAAAAAAAAAAATTGGCTCATGTTTTCTATTTAATTTCAGTTGGGATGAAACTCATTTCGGAAAGATGGGAAGTTGGTACATAAATCGGACTTTTTTCTTCGATGTGCATCCACCCCTCGGAAAGATGTTGATAGCTCTGTCCGGTTATTTAACAGGTTACGATGGAAGATTTCCCTTTGAAAAACCAGGGGACAAGTTTGAGGATACTAAATACCTCGGTATGAGGGTCTTCTGCACATTTTTAGGTGCTACCATAGTCCCACTTGCTTTCTTAATTGTCTGGGACTTAACGAAATCCACGAGGGCTTCAGTACTCTCAGCCATGTTCATTCTCTTGGATATTGGATTATTAACATTAAATAGATACATTCTCCTGGATCCAATCCTCCTCTGCTTCATGATGTGTGCAACCTGGGGAATGGCAAGGATCGGTGCTCACAGAGATCAAGCATTTACTAGATCTTGGTGGGGCTGGCTTATCTTCACTGGATTGTCACTCGCCTGTACCATTAGTGTAAAATTCGTAGGACTCTTTGTCGTCCTCCTCGTTGGCATTTTTACCGTTTATGAACTCTGGAGAGAACTCGGAGATCTGACGAAACCTGTGATCAACGTTGGAAAACATTTAATCGCCAGGGTTGTTTGTCTGATTGTACTACCCATTATTTTGTACATGGTGTTCTTTTACATTCATCTGGCAGTACTGAATAAAAGGTGAGAATAATTGAGAGCATTAAAAACCATTAGAAAATTTTCTGACCCGTTATATGCGCTAAATCATTTACAAACTTAATTGTTTTCTACTCGTTTGATTAAACTAATTAGGAAGTGACTTTCAGTGGCAGCGGTGACGGTTTTTACTCCTCGGAATTTCAGTCTCTCCTCCAGGGAAACTCGTTGCACAACGCAACAATGCCTCGCCAACTCTCCTACGGAGCCACAATTACTCTAAAAAATCACCGGACAGGTGGAGGATATCTACATTCCCACTGGCACCTCTATCCGGAAGGAGTCGGTGCTCGTCAGCAACAAATCACGACGTACTCACACAAGGACGACAACAACTTCTGGATCGTCAAAAAATTCGATACCGAGGAAATACCTCCTGAACCAGAACTGATAAAACATGGTGATCTCATTCGCCTCGAGCATACAATTACCTCAAGGAATCTCCACTCCCACAAAGCGATTGCTCCAATCTCCAAAAAACACTACCAAGTAACTGGATATGGAGAAAATGGAGTAGGAGATGCCAATGATATCTGGAAGGTGGTGATTGAGAATGGAAAGGAAGGGGATATAGTTCAAACAGTTACAAGTAAATTAAAATTCGTTCATTATCTTCACCACTGTGTTCTAACTTGCAGTGGCAAGACTTTACCCAAGTGGGGATACAGCCAGCAGGAAGTCTCTTGCAACCCAAACATGAGGGACAAGAATGCTGTCTGGAATATAGAGGACAACAGATATCCGAAATTACCCAACGTCAGTTTTCAAGTTTATGCTCCAGGATTTTTGGCTAGATTCTTAGAGTCACATGCCGTTATGCTGCAAGGAAACTCGGATTTGAAAGTTAAAGAGGGAGAAGTTACCTCCAGACCCTGGCAATGGCCAATCAATTATAGAGGACAATTCTTCTCCGGCAGTGATCACAGGATTTATTTACTTGGAAATCCCATTATTTGGTGGGGAAATATTATTTTCCTTCTTCTGTTTGTTTTCATATATGTTTGGAATTCCGTGAGGGAGCAGAGAGGGTGTGAGGAAGCTGAGAAAGTATCTGAGGAGAAGGAGAAACTTAAGACTGCTGGAATGTGGTTATTCATCGGATGGATGCTGCATTATTTGCCATTTTGGGCCATGGGACGTGTTCTATATTTTCATCATTATTTTCCTGCATTGGTGTACAGCTCCATGCTCACTGGAATTACTTTGAATTTCATACTAGATAGTCTTTTCTTTGTGCTTCCGCAGAGAGTGGCCAATCTTGTTTATCATGTGGTGCTGGGGAGTGTTCTCTCTGTCACTGTTTACAGGTATTGTCTTTTTGAGAAATGAAAATAAGAATATTGTAGAATATTGTAAAACCTGACAAACCTGAGATAGATATAAATTTTTGAGGAACATTTTTTAATATTATGCGGAAAGGAATTTGGAATGGCGATTACTATTATTAATTTAATATTGTTATTATTAATTCTAGATTATTCATTTAACAAGTAGTTCTCAGGGAATTTATTATATTCTTTGAATTCCACTCTTAAAATATCATTTCTACGATAATAGTTGAATGAATGTAGTTTTCATATCAAATTATTTTTATTTTTCAGCTTCTACCTGTTTGCACCATTGGCTTATGGAATGACAGGTCCGTCTGCCTCAGACCCTCAAAGTCCTCTTCATACGCTGAAGTGGCTCGAGTCTTGGGAGTTTTAGATAATACTCAAAAAATTGAAAATATATCTCGATAGCAGAAAACAGAGTAATATTTTATATATTTTATTGTTGTCAATAAATGCAATTTTTATAAATTTTTGAAGATAATTAACATGCTCTCATTTCAATCTTCATAATCAATGATTCAACCTTCTAATTATTATCTGCATATCGGCTTTACAAAGAGTTTCGTAATTCACATACGTTTATGGATATTTCCATCTTTAAAAAATCAGCAGTGAATTGGTGAGATGAGGTAAAGCTTTCTGACTTTTCTGACAATCTATTTAATTGGATTGACCCGAAAAAATACACCGTTTTTGTATTTTATCACTATTTTACTATCACGTTTCATGAGCGTTTCATGAGCGTTTCATGACCGTACAATAATCCTCGTCTTTTCGAAAATTTTGAGGACTTCTCCAAGATTCGAAGTTCAGAAGATACGCAGAAAAATTATTCCACGATCATGACATTGAGGAAGTCATTAAATAATAATAAAATCAAAAAACGGTACGAAAACTCAAAAAACTGGTAATTTCGGTTAAAAGGGGTCAGAACAACATTAAGAACCGGTTGGATTATCTGGAAAAGATAATTTACTCCAAAATTGGGATTCCTAATTACTCTGGCAATTAATCGTTTTTTTCAATAATTGTTAGCTAGCGTTCTAGCGGTTGTCAACGACTAGAACGCTAGCTAACAATTATCGAAAAAAACAATTAATTAGCGGAGTAATTAGGAATCCCAATTTTGGAGTAAATTATCTTTCCGAGATGCTCCCTTAGGGAGGCCCTTAACGTATATTGTGTTATTTCATTCCAGAATGATTCTAGTACTGACATCATTCAATGTTGAGGAAGAGGATGTGAAAAATTGCTCTCTCTGTCCCATCATGATCTATTACTCCCCCGCAAAACCGTAGACATGTCCGCTGATACCGCGCAGGTGCTGAGAAACAGCTGCGAATTCTACCTATTTGTTGACAAAATTAGTCGACTCTAGTCTGTGAAACGGGTGCATCTTCCGCGCCATCATTTCTCCACATATTATTATAAATAAATAAAAACAGCAGCAGCCCGTAAAAAATGGATAGATTGCTGTTATCAAGAAGCCGACGGAAACTCACTCGTGTAATTTCAATCAGAAACACCCATTAAACTCGTAGAATTATATCCATTGTACTGTGTGTACCGTGTTGTAGCCGATTCGATTTATCTCGACCAGGTGCTAATTCACCACCAAAATCATACTCCTCCACGATCAATAAGAGGAAAATAAATAACGGAATTACAATTCATGGCTCCAACGTACGTCAATTATCACGCCTTCAAGATTTACGTAAGCACCTTACTCATTTAATTAATCATGGATAATTCTTCGTCTTAATCAGTTATTATTTAAGAGCGACATATTCAAGGAAACAAGGATTTTTTTATTAGTGCTCAAATCTACAAGACTTATTTACACTATATCAGTTATATTTTTTATTAGCCTATGCGTCCAAGCATGTTACAATTGTGCTTCTAAATTTTTTATCCATTATTTATATTTATCAAGAAACAAATGGTATTAAGACAATATTGATGTCATCAATCTTAAATATTTATGTATAGACTATTTATCTATATTCATGGACTTTAATTCAGTGATTAATTTATAAAAATATTAATATTGATTGAGAGAATTTTACTTTTTTTTTTCTAAAAATGTCTGAATTTTCTCGGGGTTTAAATTGTTACGGATTTGTCATGAGGAAATGCCAGCGCTGGAGTTCTCACTCATCTTTATTCGTTGGATTTTTATGTCACCCACACAATTCATGGGTTAGCTTTCAAAACATTCTTGTGTCTGTGAAGTGAATACATATGTGAATATATATATAAATACATATGTGAATGATTTAAGTAACAGAATGGACCGCGATGCGGAAAAAATTTCAACTGTCAGTTCAATTGACAGTGGACAATTGTTACTCTGGCTAAAGAATGATAGACGATGAAGCAAAGATAATTTTTATCTAACAATTAATCCCTGATCTACATTTGCCCCTTGATGCAAATCTTTCACTGTTATTATCCAAACATTTCGTAGAACTTGACGATTGTTGAAAGTATCGACTAATTATCGTTTCTTCATGAAAATTAGGGCAAGATTTAGTACTCGTATCGAGGTGTTTTGCATAATTATTTAGTGTTATCTGAATTTTCTTGATGCATTACACGTTTCGACGAAAATGACGTGTATTATTGTAGCGATTATCTTATCATTCGGAAACTGTTATAGTGTTAGAGTACTAGGAGATTGAGCGTCAGTCTTGAGCAGAATGTAATAAGTTATGTGTCTAGATGATATCGATACTTCCTCACCTTATGTAAGAACAGTATTATAAATAATACGATTATTCAGACTTATTTAATAATGAATATTGTACAGAAGTAGGAGTACTGTCAATGTTGTTCTCTTTGGCGACTTAACTATTCGATTGATGATTAATTTTTTTTAAATCGTTAAAAGTACTTTAGTGACTATTGGAATGACTCACTACACAGGTAACCATTTAATTAGCACATACTTAACATTGACGTAGAAATGAGCGGTAAAACAGTTCAAATCAAATATTCAAGAGGAAATAATAATTTCTGTGTCCTCTTTCGCAGAAAATTAAGGCCCGGATGGACTGCCTGGAAAAGATAATTTACTCCAAAATTGGGACTTCTAATTACTCCGTCAATTAATCGTTTTTTCCGATAATTGTTAGCTAGCGGCCTAGTTGTTGACAGCCGCTAGAACGCTAGCTAACAATTATTGAAAAAAACGATTAATTGCCAAAGTAATTAGGAATCCGAATTTCGGAGTAAATTATCTTTTCCAGATAATCCAACCGGTCCTTGAGAGAAATTTAGAAAAAAGGGGTATCTAAACGGATTCAGCAGCTCTTCTCGGAGACTTGGGTAGAAACTGAAGGAAATTGAGTGGTTGCAGTACTTATTGAATGACTCATGACGATTATTAATCCTTGATCTCAGCAATGATTAAAAACTTATTGCCGATATCTTCTCAGTGTTCATATTTTTTTTGCCGTGAACAAACATTTTTAGCGTTTTTAGGATTCATCATTATCCAATCATCTCATGACTCATGAATTTTAATAATCATGCGTCTATTTCTCAAAATTGTTGGTAAAGTTGTGGGAATTTTTGCAACAGTTTATCGAGAACGTAGGAAAATTCTTCCATCGTAATGATACTTCGTGATACGTTGAATAATAATCAAACTTAAAAAGCGATATATTTTTTCACGTTAATTTTGTCAATTGCCTCTTACAGTCTTACGTTTTCTTTTCAAAATTTTAATTATTTCCATCATTTCCATTTATCTCCCAGGTTGATAAAAAAATTAGGTTCTTCCAATAATGAAGTTAATTATTACTTGTATCATGTAAATTTTTGTTAAAGATTTCCCAGTGATATGTGGACCAGTGGGAATCAACGAACATGTCGAAGAATTACGTATTAACGTTGACGATGTGGTGGGCAATGCATGTAATTGTGTCTGGAAAATTGGAACGAATTGCCCTCGAGTCTCATACTGTTCTCGAAGACTTCAATGGATATCACACTATATCAATCGTCCATTTTCATGTACCAGCAAATGTAATCAATAGTTTATTCAAGTAAGTGACTCGATTATTTTCCATTGTCAATTCCATTGCTGACTCTATTCATTAAAAAACAATCAGATTTACTGCAAAAGAGCTGAAAACCGGTGGAATCGGTCGCTGTCCCCCTCGAGAGGTCACAGTCTTCCTAAAATATGGAAGTATCGCTGTCGGCAGTCCCGATGGCTCGAAAATTGGAGCTAAATTGTTCGAGAGAAGGCGACAATTTTCTAATTTCACATTTACGAGCGAAATCGATGAGTATGAACTTCAGAGGCCTAATCCAGCTCCCGGAGATTGGTATGCAATTGCATTCAGATCTTGGAGTGATCCAGATTCAGAAAAAATTACACAACAAGGTACTTTTTTTTTTGACTTGACTTGACTTATAAAAATTTCACTACCTCTTTTAGGTGTCAAAATACTTGAGAAAAACCCATCAAAGAACCGTAATATACTATTGTAAATAGTTATTAGCCATTTTGTATTCTCTCATAATTAAGTTGTATTAATAAATTATATAAGTTGTATTAATATTAAATTTTGTTATAGGGCTTGGTGCAACATGCTCCACAATTTTGGACTCTGAACTATCAATAGAGAAAGCAAAAATCGCCTTAGTGATTGATCCCAGTGATGATCACACAATATTGTTGAATAAGACAATGAATTCCGCAAGATTGCAATACCTCATCACCGAGGACAAAGAACCTGTAAATATTTCAATTACCTCGACTTGTGGGAATCCCTGTAAAGTATTAGCTAATTTGGTAGTGGAAGATGTCGTGTCGAGTATCCTAATTAATTTCACAGTGAAGACATCATTTACGCCGTATCCGGGATATTTTCATTATTTAAATCTACGGCTTCTCTCTGGAAATACGACGAATGTTACTGTATCTTTTGTAAAGCTTCTCGAAAAGCAGACAAGGCAGAGTGAAATAGAATTAGTGAGAAAAACTCTGCCGGAATTCTTCACGTTTGACTACGAATTTTTTGAAGAAAATTCAACCACAGCAACTCCAGTGAACATTTCCGAAAATGGATTGACTGTTCTCAACTTTAGAATCGGTACTGTTTATGATGTCGGTGGAACCCTGTCTATTGGAATTAAATTAGTCAATGAAAGTCATGATATTGTGGTTGTTGGATGCATTTCATTGGGTAAAGTATTATTTTCCAGATATAATATTGCAAAATCTAAAATATTCAATCGGCCATTGGTCTTTTATAGCCTTATCGTCCTGATACCGTCAATACTATTATTTTTAATTTTTTATTCCTCTCTAATGGGCTATTTAATTTTCTACCCACGTTTAAGGAATTGTTGCGGAAATCTTCTCATTTTCAAGTTTTTTTTCCAAATTTTTGACAGAATTGCCATGGAAAAAATATACCGTTTTAATTCAGTTATATTTTTATTCAATATCTTATAAGTTTCATTATCATCATAGAAAAAATCTTCCTACGTTCTCTCGAGTTCAATAAAATTTTCAAGTAAACTCGCTATTTCTTCTATTTAAGCTAATTTCACATGTTCTATAATTTCGTTATTATCAAGACAAGCTATTTTATTTTCAGGAATTTACCCAACAATTACGACAAATGGAAGTTGCACAGTGTCAACCATCACCGTGCCCGCCGACTTGTGGATTAATTCAACTACACCCCAATTTCTACACATTCCCTTTCCAGAGCCAGGGGTCTGGCACTTGACTTTGAAATCATTTAGAGTCCCCTCGAACTGCACCTGCCGCTCTTCATCAGACTCAGCTGTCTCTTGCAATTGCATGCAGCCCATTTCCACTAGAATTGAAACAAGCATAGGCTCCTCTCCCTGTATCGAAGGAAAATGCAGTTCCAACGGTAAATGCAACACGTACCTTCACAGCGGAGGATTTGCCTTTTCAACTTGTCAGTGTCATGGAGGATACAGAGGATTCGACTGTGCAGATGACACATACGTACTGACAGGAGGACAAATTCTCGTGAGATTTTTCATGCTTACCCTTAGCAATCTTGGCTTCATAGCATCAGTCTACATAGCATTTAAACGAGAGTATTACACAGAAGCTGTTGTCTATGGGGCTGTCATGTTTTTCTCAACGTTTTATCATGCCTGCGAGGCAGGTGAAGACGTCATAGGTATTTGCATCACCAAACTCAGTGTCCTTCAATTTTGCGATTTCTACAATGCTCTTCTGTCAATTTGGGTGACACTGGTAGCAATGGCTTCCTTCGGCACCAAAATCACGGCATTCTGCCAAATATCTGGAGCCATTGTTCTTGCACTAGGAGCAGAACTAGACAGAACAGCTCTCTGGGTATTTCTCCTACCTGCTATCACGGGGTTTGGACTCATTGGATTCTCCTGGGGATCCAGATGCAGGAGACAGAGAAACTTGGGATATCCTGCCTCTAGGTACAAGAATATCTATCTCCCTGGGGGATTAGGAATCGTTTCCCTTGGATTGGTTTGTTATGCTTTTCTCCAGACTAGGAGGAATTATCACATTGTTCACAGCTTCTGGCACATTTGCGTGGCTCTTGGCGTTGTTCTGTTGTTACCAAAGAGAAAACACATGAAATAGTACAGGGGTTCGCTGGATGACGAGGACGAGAGTTATGAAGAGGCGATTCACGCGTTCTCGTCACCCGTCGTCAGCGATTTTGATAATGAGTGCGATCTCAGTGATTCATTCCTTCATGCTCTTGATGATTGATATGAGGAGGGCTGTGATCGCCGCCAGGGGAGAGGCGGATATTCCAGGGAAAATATTGAATTACTTGTAGGAGGGGGAGGGGGTAGTTAGTGGCCTAAAACTATTCGAGTTGACATATCCTTTAGTTATTTAATCCATAAATTAATTAAAGGAGTCAGAGATTTTGTAGAAATACAAAAGTTGGCTATGATATGGAGTTATTGTCGACATCTTCTCATTATTTTCCCGGCGGATGTTTTTTTTTATTTCTGGAAAATCGTGGATCGGATTGACCTGAAAAATATACCGTTTTTTGGTTTTCCAATGAAAATTTCTATTATTCAATGGCTGCGTTTTTCGTGACACGCTCTACCCGGGCAGAAAGAATTTACACCCAATGCGCCAAAAGAAGAAAAAAAAAAGTTTCACTTCAATAATGAGAACATATGGGCAATAACTCCGTCAGGAGATGTAAAAATTTCCATAACAACTTGATGACATTACGAGGGTTGAAGAAATTACTTCTCTTATACTTTCTCTCCTCCAAATTTTCAAGTATGATTAATGGAAAGAATATTGACTACTAAAATGATTCGGTAAATTGTCGTGGATGAAGAAAATGTAAAAAAACGAGTCTGGAAAGGATTCCTGGAAAAGGTGTGCAGCTATCAAAAAAGGTCGTACAGTAATGGCTCCTCAAACCACTCATTTTATGAGTGTTAATCGAATTAACGATAAAAAATGAGATTTACTTCTTGACTCGGTCTTGATAGAGATGAACAATTTGGGTTGTCCCAATTTAAAAAAAATAGGCTGTCCTAGGAATTTACAATATCCGCATGTTAACATTATCACCTCAATTTATTTTTAATACTCAGAATTATCAGAGTTCTATTTATGCACAAGTAATTGCGAGGAAGTCTATAATAGAATTTGATTTGTATTATATGTAAATATATCTGAGGTCGCCTCAATGGGCTTGGGTAATGAAATTCAAATAAAAAGAGAAATATTCATCTAAACATGATAATTAATCATTAATAATCCTCAGTATTATTGAACATTCGATGGAGAAAGATGTTGGACTATAGTTTAATGGCTATGAATGGCATGGAAACCCTTCAATATCTGTTTAAATGTTGTTACATGAATGTGGGATTTACAGATTACATAGGAGCTGCTGGAGCAGTTGGATTCGGCCTGGAGCTCGAAATAACAGATAATACGTTGGTGAATAGTCCCATGAGGGATTCCATCGAGAATCCACAATGGCGATAATTCCTCGAGCAATTCTGACCCTTTCGACCAGCTTCTATAGCTTCTTGGATGGCAGTGCCTCGCATTGCGGTTCTGAATACTTGATTTGTGGTGATTGTTTCGATCATTCGGTCGAAGGAAGAGACTTTCTCGTCGTCATCAATGTCGTTTGCTGTTCTAACGGTTTCTGCTGCCTTTTGAGCATATGAACAAACAGCTCGCTGCATGCAGGAGGTTGTATCGATGCCATGGTGTGCCAGGATGTCGTCCAACTTCGTCATTGTATTAGTCAATGTCGCTTCATCACCTAGACAATTTGGAAAATTATTTTTCAGGATTATTCTTCAAAAAAAAAATCCAATCAGTGTAGGAATACATTTCATTTTCATTATTTTTTTAGATCACTAGCCACAAAAGGACAGATTATTAATATCATTTGTGATATTTCACTGAAATGAAAATAAGGCTGAAACAACCTCCAGAATCAAAAAATTTCTTCAGGGTTTGAAGTGTATAACGAGACGCTACGAAGGAGTCGAGAGATGATGAAGATTCATATTCGTGGGGCAAGTAAATTTATGGATTTCTATCAATATATTCTTTGGACTTACTTCTGGCGTATGATCCGTATGACCCTGAGATAATGTAAAGAAGTTTAGGGATGATGAGAATTGTTCCAACTCCTATTACTGCACCCAGGATGAGTCCGCCGAGGTCAACTTTTGTCGGAGCGTAAGAACTAACTCCATATCCCTAAAGTTAATTCCATCATTAATAATACAATTGGTCACAATTAATAATATCAATGATCTTGTTTTGATATCTCTAAAAAAATTCGCTCCTCTAGAGAGTTTTTTCCCAATCAATGTTCGGTACACTTTATCAATTGTAAATTCAATTTTTTTCCTCTCGTATACCCTTTCAGGTTTTTATGATTTTTTACAACACCAGCTGGACTGTATTTGCTGAAGAGAATGAAAAACCTCATTCGAGGGGAACAACTTGCACTGGTACAGTAGTTCTTTTGAAATTTTAACCGGCGGTGCCGGGATGCGAACCCGGATCATTGGAATAAGAGTCTTAGACGAATCTCTTTAACCGCACGGTCTTTATCAATTCAATTTTTAAATAATTAATATGGGTTGAGTGATTAAAATTTTTAGCAAGATAAGAGATGCTCCCCTTTCACAGTTTAAATTAAAATAATTTAATAATATAATATATTAATATAATTTAATATAATAATTAATCTGATGATCTTTTGAATGAAGAAATAACGAGACTGGGATATGAATACAGTTTTGACATACGGTTCCTCCTCCTGACGTCTCGAGATTCGAAAATCCAAATCTAGCTTCCTGACTCCTTTCAGACACTGGTTTATCATCTCCGATACTTCTGGAGATATTCCCTGAATCAGAACGCGATTCAGCACGGGATTGGGATTGCGAAGGTACAGCTATTTGATCCTGATGTTTTCCATCTCCCCAGAAGTCCATGGAGCTTGGAACAAATCTTGAAAAAATCATTTCTCAATTCTTTCATAATTCATTTTATTCATAAAAAAAATAAAATCTTGGATGAAAATCGGGCGATAGCCTTTGACAAAAAAATGCGTGTTTTATATTTTTCATGCAATAAACTCCGTTAAAAATTAAAATTCAATTACGATACAATCCGTATAAATATTTAATGGATACACGAATAAAATCAATTTGAATCTGATATATTGGACTTCTAATGCGATATCAGTAAAAATAAAAAAATCATTAAAAAACAAAATCAAGTATAAAATATTCCAGATTCAAGAATATTATTTTTGTACTATCAACCGAGCTTATGAAAATAATTTACACATTTTTTTTTACAATCTATTCATTTTTTAAAGAACTAAATTTATAAAAAAAATATTGAAAAATTGTTTATAATTCCTAAAATTCCTTCATTTTTAATATCAATATTTCATTTGGAACTTTTTATTTGAAGAAACTGTTTATTTATCCGACTGCCGTAAATTATTAATATCAAATGGAATTTCTCACCCTCCTAAGTCATATTTAGGCGAACAATTTATCCCACTAAATGTCAATCCAACTATCAAAAGAAATAATTTCATCTCCGCTCGAATCATCTGGAAAAGATAGATTTCTGAAATCACTGTAAATATAATAATTCCACAATTCCGTACCTTATATTTCGTGTTACGAATGTGTCTCTATAAAAAAAATAGTTGAGTGATGAATGAACAATTTGACACGACTGAGACACACAGGGAAGATGTTCGGTATAATATATACTCCTGCGTGTAATCTCTTCAACATTCACAATCGTAATTGCTCCTCTTCGGTTTCGCTTTCGTCGTTAAGAATTTTCATGGGTATGCATTCACATTGCGTGACAATATACAACAATTTTGTCTCCAAAATGACTTTTCCTCTCGCGCGTACTAACGCGTGTTGAGTAGAAACACCTTGAAATTATCTTGAAATTAAAAGAAGAATGAAAACATTGCGTAAAGTACCAGAGAAAAAACTGTGTGTTAGAGTGTGAATAATAGTCCGAGGTCTTTAAACTGTTCGGTGGCTTCCATTTCAGAGTGCTAGCCTCTACCTTTTTTATTGTTTTCATTTTTTAATTAGGGGGAAGCAATTGAAAATGAAGACATAAAGATTTTACGGTATGTGTATAGGTACAATATTATCGATATCGAACGGTTTCGATATGTATAGGTATATATATAGGAAATTACTTCGGGCAAGAGAATTACAATTTTTAATCTTAATAGACCGGAAATGGTACTTTTTGAGGTAATGTTCTCATGGATCATGAAAAATTAGGAAATTAATTAACAGTAGAGAAAAATTTCACTATCGATTTATTATTCTAAATCGTTAAAAATTTTTCGTTTCGTTAAAAAGAAAATATTATAAAATATACCTATTCCTCTATCGGTATATTGGCAACAAATTGAATTAAATTGATCATCTCCTTTAGATATAAAAAAATATAATTAATACTCATGAAGAAAAATTCTCGTCATCCACTATTTTTCCTAGAACTTTCACTTGAAGGAAAAGGTAAAAATTTCATGTGCTTTCTTCAAATCCAAAGATCGTTACATAGGCACAGGTAATCAGGAGTTAATAATTCGGAACTAGGAGGTAAGAAAAATAGCGGGGAAAAATAGTAAATTCGTTACAGTTTGTGATTGAGAAAATGTACGAAAGTCACAAGAACCTTTCTTTTCATTATTTTTTTCTGTACGTAAAACGTAAGTTCGCATGTTAGGACCATTATTCCTGATGAAATCACTAGTCATAGCTGACAGACAAATTTTAATTGTCACAAAAACAAGGAGATTTGTCAAGTGCGATGTACCCATCAGCCTTTCTCCACGGAAAAAAAAAATGTAAAATAATGAAAACTCATGGGTTATTCCTGTATTCACATTATTTCCTTGCCGCCGAAGAGAGGGTTCTTGCGATATAGATAGTTGTCCAGGAGAGTAAGGTGTCACAATTTTAGTTCTACTTCGGGGGAACACGTTCATTTTTCCAAAATGAAGAGTTCAGTGATTTTTACCTTGTCATTGCTGTTCGCCTTCGTAAATCTCGCATACGGTAACGCCAGAAAACCTGCTGATTCATTAAAGAGGGAACCAAAATTTATTTCCTTCAATTCGGATGACGGGAAAATTGATGTGAGTCAGTCTTTTTATTTCTTTATCTGTAATTATTTAATTCTACTGTCACCTTCCCTTTGAGAAAGCGAAAGTTTGAACTGACCTGAAGAGTAATTAGATCTGAAGTTCCTTTAAGTTTCTGTCAATACAATTTTTCATAATTAATTCCATTATTATTACTCAAACCAAACGTGGAGAGAAAAAAATTGCATTTTTACGCATGAGTGTACAGTGGGCAGTCATCTAAATAATGGATGAAACTAGATTCCTAGAATTGTTCTGACGATAAGATTAATCTCGATTTATAATTTGTGATTTTTATAAATTTATTTACAACATGCGATACATCTTCATAAATTCATCAAATGTCGTAGCCTCAATCATAAATTTATCTTTGGTAAAATCGATGTGAATCATTAAAGGTCGATTTGGATTTATCAATTCCGTTTATCTCGATCCCATTGGGGGATAAAGATGATAAAGATGGACCTAGACCTCTAGTGAACATCAACACTAAATCAATCACGGTTGCTGGAATTCTCGCTGCAATAACAGCTTTCGTCATTCCGCTTCTATTCAAGACGCCAAATCATTCTCAATATCGTGAGTATAATATCATTTTTCTTTTGGAAATATAGAGCAAATTGTGAGGCATTATTTTGTTAAATTAGGTTTCGATAATGAGTTCAACGTGTGGGATGCAGGCCGAACGCTTAATGAATTTATTCTGGGGAATAATTATGTGACTCCCTGCATTCAACGAGCGATTTGTGGAGCAATAGCAAGAGTCGATAGGGTGAAAACCCCAACTGGAGCTGATAAAATCGTTGATGGACTCGCCAAGTAAATATTATTCACAATTCATCAGTTATAGAATAATTAACTGTCCTTTTTAGCCGAAATCATCGGTTTTCTGAGGTGACAGATTATTGACCGGATTAACCGTAAAAAATATACCGTTTTTGCATTTTATAATTTTGCTTTCTAAAGTTCTATGAGCTTTTAAAAAATTTAGAAGAATCACAAGAAAATTACTGCACGATCGTGACATTTTGGGCGTCATTAAATGATATTAAAATGCTATTAAAGTAATTAAATAATTATAGAAAATGGTTGGGTAATTGTCACAGACTTTTTCGCTCGGTGTAGTTCAAAAAATTATTCTAAAATTATATATTGTGTGGGGACTGATTGCGTACGATTCACCCAATATCGATTGGGAAAAGTGGCAACTGGAGTATCGACATCCGACGAATTGTACATGAAGTTAATTTTAATTTTTCCAGCCATGAACAGCACTGCATTTAATAAGCCTGTCTCCTTTCTTTGAACCAATTTCTTTCAGTTTGAAAATCATAAAGGACCTGATCAATGGAACTTCAATCCAAAAAGCTGTCGACGTTGGCCACCAATCCACCGAGCAGTGTCTGAATTATTTTCAGAGTTGTTCAATGGCTCCAGAAATATTCGAAGTATTACTAAATGAATTGGGAATTCAATAAAAGACATCTGCTCGAAGGGAGAGAAGATAGTGCTCAATAGAGAAGGCCATAAAATCCTTCAACATTGGTAAAAAATAGAACGTTTATTAAAACAGTGTGAATATAAATAAAAACGTTTTACAATTCTTACATAAATATTTTCTCGTAATAGCCACATTAATTTACCTAACAGCCTCACTGCCGCAGAATCATCATGACAGTCGATTGTTCGGGTGCATGCAGCGTAGAAAAAATACAGAAGGTGTTATGCTTTCTCTCGACGCTTTAAAAAGTACAATGCCTAAAAAAAAAAAATTCTCTGCATGAAGAATAAGGGGGATAGGACTCCGAAACATTCTTCACCTCTGAATTCAGGTTTCGGTGCCATTTGCTGCAGATGGGGGAAGCAATTTAAGAACTTCCTCGCAGTTGAGGAGTTGGGCAATTTCACGTGGGCTCAATCCACGCTTATTTTTTATGTCGGCATTAACGTGATGATCAAGCAAGAATTGTAGCACTTTGGGTTTATCGTAGATAACTGCCTGTTCAAGGACAGTGATTCCAGAGGCATTTGGCTGATTCAGATCTGCCCCAGCACATTTCAAAGCGCGCAAACGTTTTATGTTTCCATTAGCTCCTGCTGAACACAACTTTTCTCCTAGTTGAACAGCATCTTCGTGGAGGTGAGCACCACATTGAATTAATAACTCAATCACCTGAGGAATTAAATTAGACTCTGTTTCATTGATTGATTTGAATTAATGACAAGTTATCATCAGGTGAGATCAGTGGAGAAAAGGATCTGGGGAAATATTTGGGGTGAAAACGTTTTGTTGTTAAGTGAATGCAGAAGCAAGAGGATATCGCTTGAATATTCGTCAAATCAATTTTCTCTGATTGAAAAAATAATAAATTCTCCCAATATGCTGGAGACATCTACCTCGTAATAATAATGTTCTATCGCCTCAGTAAGCGGTGTTCGATTCAGCAAATCTTTTATGTGAACATTTGCTCCCATTTCCAATAATTTACGAACAATATCAAGGTCTCCTAGGCTGCAAGCAACGTGAAGGGCAGTTCTTCCATCAGACGTCGGTTGCGATATATCTGCACACTGAAATTAATCGATTTTTCTAATAATCGACGGAGGGATTGTATAAAAAAATTGTTGAGCGAGGAAAGTCAATTTATCTGTTGCGCGCATTATTAATGATAGTAGAGTACGATACAAGTGCAAATAAATTGTTCAAAATTCTTGAGTAGTGTATAATCACGTTTTTTCAAGAAGTACTTGTTTTTATACATGTGCCGTGAAGATTTTTGATATTGGTGAAATATCGTAGCATCATAATTCAAAGACTCAAAAAACTCAAAGCTCAAAAAAATGAATATCTTTTTGCGGGGAGACTGTCACCAAGGATGGTGAGGTCTAACGTTTTTTAAAGATTTGATCAATCATTATATGCACTAACAGAGTCGAAACGGTGTAAAATAAATAATAAGGAAAAAGTTTAATGAATGAATTACGTTGAGTCGCAGCAACTCTAGTTTCTCAACATCCTTCGCTATGACGGCTTCAATGAGCATCGCTGGGAATATTATAGGAGCCAATTTATTCAATTCCGTCTCAGTACTGAGTCCAAGCCAGTTTAGGAATAGCTGACGATCCTGGAAGTTCACTCTCTCACAGGTTGTTAATTCACCTCTCAGATTTGTTTCCATCATTTTTCTTTTTTCTTGAATATCCCAGTTGGTTTTCGATAAAACGTATGATAATTTCGTGAGAGCTGCCTCTGGGGTCATATCATAGCCCACAGTAACTCCTTTAAAGGTCATGAAAAAAATGAAACTTATTAATAAAATAGGAAGGATTTCATGTTAGTACATATTTCAATTTCACGTTAAGAGAAACAATAATAAACACGTGATTTAGATTGACCATTTTTTTTCAAAAAGCAGAGAAAATTTCGCATGAACTTTACACATTCAAAATTGACTGATCATTCTTAAAGAGTTATAATTGAAACTGAGAGGAGCATTTTTGAAAAGAAAAGAATCAATGCTGGAAATAAAAATAAAGTCCAATAGCTTTAAGAATAATTAAGTTAGAGTTGCCCCTCAACGTTTTTGCAGTCTATATACTTGATGACATTATTACAAAATATTTACCGGAATCGACTAACAATTTTCCAGACTCATAGGCAGACGTGACCCCATCCTTCAAGCATTGTGTGATGTTAATAATAATAACTCCTCGACGACTAGCATTTCTTAGCTCCTGAACAATATCATCTCGATTGATCGGGACATTTCCAGCTCCAAAAGTTTGTAGAACAACTCCCTCAGTTGGTGGTTGCAAAAAAGCCCTGACCAATTCTACAGTTATACTAGGAAAAATCCTCAAAAGCCCAACATTGCGATTCAACGTTGTGTGAACGTGGAATTTTTCGATTCCACAGGGCCGAAAGATCGATTGGTAGTTCACCTGAATTTTAATTCCTGCCATAGCTAATGGGCCGAAATTTGGGGAATCAAAAGCTTCGAAAGATGCTGCAGACACTTTACTGGTTCTATTTCCTCGCATCAAGGTGCTCCCAAAGAAGACACATACTTCAGGGATGCTATAATTGCCTGCAATTATCAATGAAGCGAGGAAATTTTGCAGCCCATCAGAACGCGCTTCGAAAATTGGTAATTGGGATCCGGTGAGTATCACTGGTTTGCCCAGTGCTTCCAACATAAATGAAAGTGCAGATGCAGTATAACTCAGAGTATCCGTTCCATGGAGAATGACGAATCCATCAAAAAATTCATAAGAATCCTGCAATTCATTCATTCAATTCAAGAATTTTTCGCAATTTTTAGCAAATCCGATTCTTCCATTATTCCATTATCAAAAAAAAAATCTATACTCTTTTAGCTGATAACAGAACGCCGAGAATAATATATACTCGAGTCAAGTGGATTTTATATTCAGGAATGTTGTGACCCGTTTTAATAAAAATTACGAGCTTTTCGAGTTTCCTATCAAATAGCTGATCGAATTACCCGAAAGGAAAATATACAGTTTTTTCATTTTATCATTTCTTTACTTATTATTTATTATTATCATTATTATATTTTATTATTTATTTAATTTATTTATTTATTCACCAAAAATTCACTGTTAACTCGATGTCAATAAAAGAGAGGAGCGCTGTACAGATTAGAAAATGTGTTAGAAGTCCCTGAATTAATCAAGAATTTCTCTAAATCTCTTTAGGAAACTCCAGAAATTATAGAAATATTAAAAAAAATTTTCCCTGTTGAAAAATTGGGTGGGAGTTCTATAAATTATTCATAAAATCAATCAATTTCATAAGAAAATCCGGACCGTTCTGAATCATCGTACACCTGTCTAGAGCTTTTCATAATTTATTATAGGAATGAATTGCTTAAGCTACTGATAGTGTGATTATGCGATAGCGTTCGAATAGTATGTCTTTCGACACGTGATCGATTCGTGATCTTTTTTTCCATCTATTAAGTGAATCATTCTAGGTTGTCGGAATTTTTATTATGGACTGCGAATCTCAATTTTTTTCTGCCTGATAAAATAATCTCTAATACCCTTGCATTTTTTTTTTCTAATACATTTTTTAGTAGATTTTTGTTTTTTTGTTACTTTGATATCCTTAGCAATTTTAATCCAATCATTCATCGTCATATTGCTTGAGTCCAATAGTGGTGAATATTCTCTTATGTCGTAAATAACACGTCGACTCTCTGTGACGGTCATTCTGCAATCAATTGAGATGGCGATGTTTATGTCAAGTTCAGAACAATAAGCTCTGATATTGTTTGTTTAATCAGGTCATTGGAGTTATTAATAATTGGTACAGGGGAAATAATCACTTACGGTAGTGCTAACAATCCTGAACTTCCAAATCTCTCAGTAGCAAATGCACGATCATACATATGAGGATATTGTTTCACAGTCGTAACAAATTTGTTCGGAACTGGTGCTAATACTGAAAAAGATAAAAAATTATTTTAAAAATCGATATTCGAAGCTATGATCTTTGGTTTTCCATTGCACGGTTATCTCCATATTATACTTTCGAAAGATTTTAAATATATGTTATAAACAAAAAAAATAAACTCATCGAGATAATTGAACAAGTGAGATTGGTTCGAATGTAAAATTCTTATCAAATGTTTATGCATTTTTTTAGTGAAAAGATTTGTAGAAAAAAAAATCAGTTGATATCTTCGAGTATCGTTGCTTACCACGTGATTGTTCATCAATTGATTGCAATGCATAATTGAGTCTCTATTTATGTGGCGATAATATATTACCATCCTTAGCATTTCTCATCATTCCGATAGTTCCTCCTGTGTAGAGTACCAGAACTCTTCCTTCTGGTTTTCCCATGTATGATAACTCAACGTCTGGAGATTTCGGCCGGGAATTTATCACGTTCAAACTATTGATTTTTTCCCCAAATGTGGGTACACACCCCTCAATATTGTTCGCTGCCATTTTCTCCAACAATTTACTACAAAATATTCAACAGCAAATGATCCAAATACGGTCTCTTTCAAATATTGTTCAAATTTTTCCTAAAATTTTTTAGAAAAATTTCTTGAAAAGGTGTTTATACGTGGTGAATGGAATATTACAAGAATATATCGATAAATTAATCGGGAAATTACATTCGTGATAAATATCGGGTTTACTACCCTAAAAAATTTGGTTCACCTAGCAATATAATAAATAATTACATTGAATTGAAACAAATCGGTTATTTGATGAATTAATTTATGAAATTTGAGGGGCGGAGTTACTGACAAATATTTCTGAATCCAAAAGCGTTAGAGATGTTTTTTTGATAATTTTTTGTGAAACTCTGGGAATTTCCTGAGATTCCGAAATATTAAAAACGAAAGTCCTCTGTCCTCTGAAAGGAATGAACTGATGAACTTGAGCTGTTTGATCACTTTGTTACTCATTTTCTAATGAAATAAAAATTTATCAAAAATCTAAAATTCTTTACACAATTCTCTTTTCTATTCCATATATTATCCTGAAAATTCTGAGGTTCAATTTAATTCGGGTTCAGTCTATACGCAACTGCTTTCCCTCCGCAATTAATAAATTTCCATGTTTTATCGTAAAGACACTTCCGCATTGTTATCGAAAGTGAAAGGAAAGCGTATAAAGCGTGAAAAAGTTTAAAAGAAAACTACTTTCGCAAACAAAATATAATTTTTTATTAATAATTCAGGAGATAAGGATGCTTACCTTGGAAAAGAGCGTCTCCGATAGATTCTCAGAGTAGACTGAAATGAATACTAAGCTGAGTATCAGTCGAGCACGCCGGATTCCGAGAATAAATATCTTCTATCCTCTTCTAGCCCATGAGAATTGTATACTAACTACTCCAATGTTCAGTTAGAAAACTAGTCTGATCATTAATCTGGAAATTATTAAGAAGAAGGAAAGAATAAAGATCAAAAACTTGAGTATATTTTGATCTCGTATTTTAACTCACTATTGATTTCTTAATATCGGTTGACCTTGCTCACACTAATCACCTCTCGCCTCATCAAGACAATATTTCATCAACTGCTCATGTTCTTATCAGCTCAATCTGCTTAAACGTATTATCACGTCAGTGTTTTCTCCAAATAACTGCCAAACTTCTTGATACCACTGTGCAGCTTTTTCTTATTCTTACAAAGTCTAGAAGAAACTTAAGGAAAATAACGTGGTAAAGGCGCCGGCGCCGGGGGAGGGGGAGTTCTTAATTGAAATGGATCATCTAATGAAGGTGACGACTGAGCTGATGAACTGAGTCTCTTTTCCCCGTTCCGTCCCGGAAGAACTCTCATTTTTACATACACCCTTCTTGGAAATTGATGATTTTTTTTTTATAATTAGAGGGACTGAAAAACTGACACTCAGAACTTACTTCTTCATCTAGCGGTGCGGAAAATGAACTTTTCGACACACTGTGTGTAAACTGTAAAGTAGCATTCAAGGCGCGCTCCCGATTCATTCGAAATGTTTGAGATTTATACACAATGCCGTGGTAGCGGTTCGGTTTGGTCTTACGGGTGTTACTCTAGACTAATTCCTTGAATATGGATTAAAATTATTTAAGATTGATGGGTTCGGAACATTTTTTGTAATAAAATGTGCCAACAGTCATATCACGCTGAATGCGCCAGTTCTCGTCCGATCACTGAAGCTAAGCAGCGTTGAGCGTGGTTAGTACTTGGATGGGTGACCGCTTGGGAACACCACGTGCCGTTGGCTCTTTTTTTTTTATTATTTATCAGAATTTAGAGACGTATATACATTCACTATGTAATTGTAATTATAATATTAAGTGTAAGGTAGAGTAGTTAATATTTGTAACATCGAGGAAATGAATTCATTTGAATAATTATTTCCTGACCACTACAGGTCAAATGAAATGAAAAATGAAAGAGAAGAAAATCACGACGGCTCCTATCTGATTGCGATAACACCTAATGTCCGCTGTCCAGATAATATCAATAATAGATATTCGTCCATGTCACGACGGTGTTTTTTATTCTGAAAACTATACTGTCAGTGTTGCATAAACTCTCAAGCTCAATGGATTTCTCATTGAGCCATAAAAATACAAATTCCTTCGCACTTCTATTCTACGTTGTTTTCAAACTCTGTGGTTTAATGCCGTTCAATATAAAATCGCATTCGATAAATAAAGAATTGCAAATTTACGTCTACTCCCACATTGGATCAATGTATAACATTATATTATCTATTGTCGTCATGATTCTGAGCCCAACTGCATTGAATGCAATTCGTACAACGGAATACGCTAACAAAACTTCAACCTTTCAAGTGATCGCACTGGCTAAAGCTTCTTTGGGTGCAGCAGTGTTAATTATTGTTTGGATGTATATCATCTGGAATCAAGAGAATGTTTTAAGAATCGTGAATCAATGGGAAAGGGCTGATAACTTAATCAGAACTTTAGAATACAAGACTTCCACGTTCTCTCACTTTCAGTTGCCACTTTATTTTGTGATCAATTGGTCTATCTGGATTAATATTGTTTGGACAGATTTAATTGTATTCGAGAAATGGTTTAAGATGACATTTGTTGTTATTACTTTGCCGAATTTTATATTTACCTGGTTAATACTCCAGTACACATTTGTCCTGATACTCCTGAGGGAGAGATTTCGGGTATTAAATGAAGCACTTGGACGAATCTCATCGGCGGCATTCGTAAAGCCATATTATTTCCGATCATCAGAGAGTACTCTTGGTGATGTAATTACCAGGAATTTATGTCTTATCAAAGAATCCCATGATGATCTGTATGAAATCGCTTGTCATATTTCTAGTTTATATTCTTTCCCAATTTTTCTTGTAATTTCTGTGTTCTGCGCTACCATCATCGTTTCGGCATATTATTTTGTCCTGGCACTAATTCCGGCTCATCGTGTAGAGCCTTTCATTATATTTAATTCCATGTTCTACATAGTAATGGAAATATTCCCGATCATCGTCCTGTCTTTTGGTGTTAATAAAATTACAAATGAGGTTTGTAAATGATTCGTCGTAGAATTTGAGGAGTTTGGAATTTTTAAAGCCCGGATGGATTATCTGGAAAAGATAATTTACTCCGAAATTGGGACTTCTAATTACTCCATCAATTAATCGTTTTTTCTGATAATTTTTAGCTAGCAATCTAGTTGTTGAGAACCGCTAGAACGCTAGCTAACAATTATTGAAAAAAACGATTAATTGACGGAGTAATTAGAAGTCCCAATTTTGGAGTAAATTATCTTTTCCAGGCAGTCCATCCGGGCCTTACGGTTATATCATTATTAATTATTTATATGATGTTAAATATTCTGTAGATGAAACTCACGGCTGTTGCAATCCACAAACTCCTTACTCGATCTTCCCTAAATGCAAAATCAAAAACACAGGTATTATGATCATAAGCACAAATCAATTTGCAAAACTATCATTTGAGAGAATGAGTAGTAAAGTCGTCAATTACAATCTAATATTTTTTATAATTTTTGCAATGACCTCAAATTTGTCATCTTTTTTATCAATTGTTTTTTAAAATTGTGCAATTGTATTCTTTTTCAGGGGATCTCAAAAAATATATATAATAAACAATCTCACTTTTTAAATTTCAGCTCAAACTCTTTTCATTGGAATTACTTCATAAAAATGTATCTTTCACTGGCTACAATATTTTTGCTCTAGACGGTACACTTCTTCATTCTGCAAGTATTTTTGATGGAGAGTCTGAAAAATTGTTCTATGACTCATCAATAATGCAGAATTATATTTCATAGATACTCAACACCACAGCAACATATTTAATTATTCTATTTCAATTCGGTCAATCAAATGGAAAACCTTGCCACGACTCAATTGACTGATTGATCGATCGAACGGCCTGCGATATTTATTCAATCATTAATGACCAATTATTATAGACAGAAAAACAAAAGTTTATCGTTTTTTAAATATGACGCAGATTCACTCATCACATATAAATGCAATATTGTTGTCTATTACTGTACACGGCGATAAATATTCAAGAATTTTTACGTAACATTCCATAATATCTTACGCTGTTCAAAGAGCAACTGGATATCGATATTCTATGGTTTCTATGGCACAGGACGTCTTATCATAGAGAGAAAAGAAAAACCTACTCTGAGAATAAATATTTCCTCTGTAGATCCTACGAAAGAAGAGAAATATAAAAGGGAAGTAATGAAAATGAAATCGAGTGTTGGTTTTCATAATTTTAATGAATAATCATTTGAAGATGTTCTCGCATCTTTAATAGAAAGCGTGCGGAAAGTGATTTTTTACGTGTGGGAGGTTTATAGAACTAGTCGATGGGGGAATTTTAGATACGGTATCAAATTTTCCATAGAAGTATCAGTATTCAAAAAATAATTGATGTGTATTGCTTTAAATCTAAGTTATTTACAATTATATACAATAAAAATATTAATAAAGGTGTCCCTTTATACTTGCAAACTCATAAAGTGGAGGGTTTTGCTTAATGAATACATTTTCGTCTAAACCCCAACTTTTTTTGTCGATTACCGATACTTGCGGTTCGAAAATGGTAACACCAACAGTTATTGTCAAATTTTTGAATAAGTTCGGGCTGATATTGATAGTATTATTGGACATCAGCTGTAGACATTCGGTGGTGCAGCCGCTGAAGACTCCAGCATTCAGGTGATGCAATTCATCAGCATTCAATATAAAAAATGTCAGGTTGAAACCTCGGAATGCATTCGGTTCAATTTGAATTCCTTCTCCGAAAGACAAAGACAAATGAGACAATTGATTCGTGACTCGGAGCGAATTATCAGTGATCGTAGTTATCGGATTTCCAAAGAGTTCTAACCGTTCCAATTTACTCAAACCATCGAACATGCCTCGTGATAAAGTCTCCAACCGATTAAGTCGTAGATCAAGCAAACGCAGATTTTTTAAATTGGAAAAAGTCTCGGGTTCCACATTATTCACAGAATTATTGAACACCCACAGTTTCTGGAGTTCATCCAAACCCTCGAACGTACCATTACGCAGAATCTCCAGATTATTATCTGAAAGATCTAGAAGTTCCAGCTGACGAAATTTCGCAAATGTTCGTGGCTCTACGTACTCCACACCATTGAATTCCAACAAAAGTTGCTTGAGTACTTTAGTATTCATTCTCGAGAAGGATTCCGGAGACAGATACCTAATTCGTTGATACCTCACTATCAACAATTCAAGTTTTGGACTATCTTCACAAAATTCTTGAGGGATTGCCGTCATATTATTATTCTCGAACAGCAGAAACCTCAGGAAATCAAATCCTTCAGAAGACTTCAATGCATTTTGGAAGTAAACACACACGATGAAGATGTATTCAATGGAAGGTAAACCGTTGAAGGACTGAGGTGTGATGTCGACGGTTCTCGGATTGCACTCCCATATACGGTCTAAGTCCAATCTACGAGGACGAGGACGTATGATGAATGATGTAACTGACGTTAAATTGTGGAAGGCATCACTAGGAATTGAGGAGATTTTGTCAACGTACATATCCAGGTTGCGGTTTGCTCGACCCTCTCGAGCTTTGACAGACAATGCACCAGACGAGTTGACAGATATTATATGGCCCCAGCTATCTGGATTTTTGCGTCTTGCGTAAGAAGATTCCGATAAAGCCAGAAGAAAAAGAATTTTTAAGAGTATCCTCTTCATCTTCAGGGTCTAAGTTGTAACTCAATGATATCACTGTTTAGCAGAAAGATCAAACGAATTGTTTCACACGGTGAAATGAATCGGAGTGCGATTCCGTTTGAGATTCCGTGCGAAGCCGAAGACCGATGAATTCATTCATTATTTATATACGTTCCTTCTATTAAGTATCTCAATAATCAATCAAGCGCGAAGTTGATTCAAGATGTGCAAATGATGTTACGCAATTTTCAAAGTATTTTTCAAAATTTATATACCTAAGTACGTCAAACTGGTATCAAAAAGTAGTTGAATAATGGGGAAATCACTTGTGGTGACTATTTCAATCGAATGTTTTTCAAACATGACGGACTAAACGAGCGTTTTAATTTTTATGTACCCGGATCTTTGTCATTTATTCCAGAGAAGAATGGCCCGATATCACATATGACGTCGAATCGCTTCAGAGTTGGTTTGTGGATTCAGTTGATCGCTGGCTTAATTGGTTTCTTAATGCTAATTTCTTATCAGATCTCTCATTTTGTGATCGCTGTTTGAACATCAATGTTTTGGCATGAAATTTTCAAAAAAGTATCAGGGGGACATGAAAATCGAGGAGGTATTCACTGAATTTTGAAAATTCGAAATTTTCAAGAAAATATCAGGGGAGCATGAAAATCGAAGAGGTATTCACTGAAATTTGAAAATTCGAAATTTTCAAAAAAGTATCAGGGGAACGTGAAAATCGAGGAGGTATTCACTGAATTTTGAAAATTCGAAATTTTCAAGAAAATATCAGGGGAGCATGAAAATCGAAGAGGTATTCACTAAAATTAAAAAATTCGAAATTCTCAAGAAAATATCAGGGGAACATGAAAATGGAGGAGGTATTCACTGAAATTTGAAAATTCGAAATTTTCAAAAAAGTATCAGGGGAACATGAAAATACAAAAAGTATCCGAAGAAGTATTTGAGGATCATCAGGTCGAAGTGTCCGAATTAAATAAAAATATGATAAAAATTTTCTGTGATAATGGGCAGCGATATTTTTTTACGCGTGCCATGGTGCGGAATTCTATTGCCAAGCCGAGCGCAAAAACAATGGATCAATTTACTGCGAAATAAGTTATTGTATTTAAAAAAAAAATTGCAAAGTTTGAATTACCCGCCAACTGCGCACTTTCGTTCCACTTGTCCCGCCATCTGAGTCGACTTGACGTTTCAACATAACAATATGCCACAACCTATCGGGTTTGGTTTTGATAATCAGTAACATACACCAACAATGCGTCTACCTAATTTTATAAATAATTCAGGAACAATCTCATGATAAAGAACATAAACAAAAGATCACTGATAATTCAATGGAGGCAAAGCTTGAGGCTTACAGAACGAAAAAACGTAGAGAAGCAATGGTGGAAAAAGCGAAAAATTCTATAAAAGGTGCTTTCTCTTGGCAGGAACAGTCAGTCCCTTTGATGTCACCAAAACTTGAGGTATTTCTCGATTAATTAATTACTTACCTTATTTAATTTCCAAAAGCTTTATGTCCCAAAAAAGAAAATGTGAATGAATCTTATTTTGCGAAAAATTGGCTGGACAAATTTGAATTATTGAAAGACCTTCTTCAATTGTCTAATTAAGTGATTTTACCATATGTCTTGGCCGAATTCAATCAATTAAAAATTTGTGGGCCATTGATTCTAATATCCATCCCAAAAAAGAATAAGTTGAAAAAATACATTATTGTGACAGTGAAGAAACATACAAACAATGAAAAAGGTTGCAGGATACAGATGACCTGGACAGTATTGCCTCTGAAGAGAGCATCGACATATCACCGCAGAGAAGCTCAACAATTACACAAGTGACTTATTTTTTATATTTCCTCTTGTGGGCAACACTATACGTGATAGCACTGCAGTTTGAGTTCGGCGCTGTTTATTTTATACTCTCAGCTTTAATATTCATATGGAAAAATACAAGGTCTGGCCCGAGGAAGAAAGGAGAAGTCAGTGCTTACTCTGTTTTCAATCCAAACTGCGAAGCAATTCAGGGATCTATCAATATGGAACAAATCGAACGAGAGATGGGATGGGGTACGCACAGTTGAATTATATAAATTATTCAGGGCTTGACAATGGGATAATTTATGTTAAACATTGAAAGTTTGGTGATGAAAATGATGTGAATTAGAACGAAAACTGAACAGTTGAAAAGAAATGAATTAATTGACTAATTGATGGGCATGTCTTTGTTGAAATTGTTTTATTATGTAAATTAAGTCATGTCTTGTAATATTTGAATGCCTGCATCGAGACACGGGAGCATTTCGGCAAGAATCTGACTAATTTCCTGATCATTTCGTGAATTAGAAATTAATGTAATGTCCGTTCTTGATTGAGAAGAGTCATTCAAACACAGGAGGGCTCTCTCCATGTCCTTCAGCAAGTCATTTGTCATTCGTACTTCAAGATATCTAGAATTATTCGTCAAAATCATACGATTATAAATAAATATGTAATAAAAATTTTGATTATACGTTAGATATCGTAATTATAATAAATGAAACATACGAAATTCTTTTGATTCACTTACCTAATTCCTAATATTTTTGCTATTTTATCATTGAGGGCTCTCCCATGCTCAGTAATAGTTGACAATTTCTTTTGGATTTTCTCTGGAAATGATGAAGCTACTGTCAGATCAATTTCGATACTATCGAAGCAAATGTGATAACGAGAATTCAATAGATTATTTTTTTCTTTATTCTTCTTCATTTGTTTTGATTTGTTTTTTTTTTGTCATTCATTTAATTATAAATTTCTTGTGGGATTACTTGCATATAGTCGAATTCTCCGAATTCGCTTCCCCTACAGCCCCATGTACATGACTATAATGAGGGTCTACTGTAATTGTAATTGGTAAGTTTTCTTACCAATATATGGACGTAGATGAGGTGCTGTTAAATTAAAAAAAAATGTTCTTATGGTGTCTTCCATTAATCGTGGATTCCATTGGAATATGTTCATTTGAGAGAGTTTCCATAAGCTTGATATTAAAATTTTTACCAAACTCTTTCGATGAGAGGTAATCTGTTGTTCGATATGGGAACCTTTAAGGCTTGTGTTATTTGGAGAGGCCTGCAAAACCATAAATCATAAATCATATTCTGTGATTAAAAAATGTGCATAAAAATAATGTGAAAGGTCCATAATTATCCAGTGAGAAGAAAGTTTCGATAAAAATTACGAACGTCTACTGGATTATACATTATTCTTCGTGTAATTACCAAACTCCCACACAGAGAAGGGCACAAAAAAATTCGTAAATATCGTGAATATATAAATTTGACAAAAAAACAATTTTCCCTTCATTTATGTCATCTTGTTCCTGAATACTCATATTCCGTCAAAAATTTAATCAATCAGTGTAATTCCAATCTCCATTTACAAGAAGCTTCTTAAGAAAATTGTCTTATCTATTATACACAAGTCTCTATGTTGAAATAGAATGAAAATTAAATTCTAGCATAATTTCCTTTACCATGAAGGTAATAACAGAGTGAGGAATGTTGAGCTTCAAACGAGGAAAATATGTAATTTCATCAGTTTTCGGTCCAGCAAAATCCTTGAATGACGCGAGAACAGTTGTCTGGACTACGTCTGACCCAGAAGATACGAGATAGCCATTTCCTATGAATTCAAAAATTATAGGTGTAAACTAATTAGAATCTCAGACTAAAGACTTAATTTTTATAATTTATTGCATTAATACCAATATAAATATTTATCGAAGTTTTTACTGAGTTATAAGCAGAAAAATTATGTGATTTTTTTTGCAATAAACGACAGCATTACAACTTTCAGGAGATTGAATACAAAATTATTTTAATAACATCTTATTTAGAAGAGAAATCATCCCAAGAAGTTTTCATTGAAAAATACTCTGGACTTTAGAAAAACTTCATCAAGGCAAATGCATTTTTTACCGGTGTTTGGAATTCCGTCGATAGCCAACAGAGCCACAATTTTCGTTTTTTTGTAATCAGGAAAAAGTCTAAGGCATTCATCCAATGAGTTTTCATATAAAAGGAACATTAGAGTTCTGCGTGGTTTCCAGTCATTATCAGCAATCAATTCCTGCAAATCTCTGACAATTTCTAGAACCATTTTAATATTTTCTTCTCCTCCTGTCGTTAGAATAACGTATCTATCTGGAAATGTAATGTATCTATTTTTATTATCATAAACGGTGGATTGGTAGAATAAAAAAAATAAAAAAAACGGTGGATTGGGATGATAATTACCTTTTTCGTGCGCTCCAGGAATTGTCGCAGTTAAACAATTCCCATTATTCCATAATTTCGAATAGAAATTCAGGACAAGGAACTGTTTTGAAGCGTTTTGTAGTGCCATCCCTTGCATACCATTTCTGAAAAATAACTGAAGTGGTTGATATTTTTTATACTTTTATATCTTTCTTACTAAGAAGACTGGCGGATATGAAATATTGTGTAATGGAAAAAATAACAATAAAAATGTGAAACCATTTATGAGCCTAAATATTTGATGATTGAAAAAGAAAGATAAAGGAGAGTATTCTCGGTCAGCATCTAATTCCAATTAATTTTTATTGATCATTTCATTCCGTGTAGTTTTTTTTCTAGATAATAAAAATCGTGGAAGTTTACATTCGATCTGCAGACCAATCGAACTTTCGGTTTTCGAGTTTCTCGATAGTCCTCTGCAGCAGGTGTTCACCACTCTCAAGGCCATTGCCAGCCACTAACTTTTGTTCCTTCTCTGCCCTGATATCGACAGCTCTCTGGGCCGCAAATCTTCCAATCAAAAATCCACAGAGAAGACACAAAAATCCAATAGAAAATAGAAACGAAAAGCACATTCGTTTGGTCACAAATTCGCTGGACTCGCCGAAGCCCCGAGCAGCTTGCAAACTTAATACACGTTGCATCCTGTCAGTTTATATAGATTTACTCATAATTCAGAATAATTGTCAAATGAAAATTGACTGAAAATTATTAATTGCAATTGGAAAGGAACAATCTCTCTGATGCCACTTGAAATCGATGACAGACGGTGAAAAAATAATGTCTGCACAACAAAACGCATCAACAAGAACTGATACACTAGACATCTCTAAACGTCATTTCCACCTCTCTGGATTTCTTATGGTTATTTTAATACTAACTTCTTGACAATTCTCATCTTTCATTCACACAGATGAATATATTTAAAATTAATCCGAAAACCTAGCTCAAAACTTGTACCATGTCTTACATACATTTCATTTAATTTATTTAATTTTCGGTTAAATGAATGATAACTACACGTATTAGTATAATTATTACAATTGCTGCAAGAAACATCGGGTTGGGAAATTCTCTGTTTATCTGAAAAACATTTATAAATAGTAGCACGACACAAGGTCCTAAGATATAGATATCTTGAGTTGACGATCTAGAGATTTTAAAAAGTTTGACTACTTTGAAAAAATCTGAACACAGAAGACCATTGCTAAATTTTTTTTTATGTGAAAAAAGGAATCTCATCTTTACATTGCACTCATGATTTTTTTGTTTATTAATTATTTTCCAGTTGAGTCGTAGAAAATCGAAACTGGAGCTACGTTTGGACAGATTTATGCGCAATTTAGTGATTACCGATATTTGTTAGGGGAGAGTAGGGCAAAATGGAAGATCATGCGTAAAAATGAGATTGGATAAATGTTAAGAGCTGTTCACATATGAGAGGTGTCAGTTTACATTCACATTCCATACTATTGTGTCTCAAGTTGTTGGTACGATATTTAACAAGCAGAGAAGAAGACTTGGAGAATTTCATTGAAGTTATTTATATTTAGCCTCCACTGGTAAACTCTCGTAGTATAAATGCGTAGGAGGTGGGTTGCAGAAGCCCCACGACTAAATCGTCTTCTGGTGGTGCCGGTTACAGTCGGAGTATAGGGAATCAATCACTTCTGATCAGAGGAGGAAGAGGGTAGAAAGAAGCGAGTTCAAGGAAATCTCTCTATCAATTTACTTGTCTACTAGGATTCGTTAAGTATTTAGGAGTAAAAAGGAGTGATTTTTTCACAGGGGGTGATTTTTTCACACAACGCGTTTTAGATCCGTTTTACATCCATTTTATCCCCAAAGGCTGTCGAAATAAAAAATTAAAAAAAGAAGATTGCCCCAACCTCCCCTTTTATATAGCCCCTGGTTTCAGTCATGCTTCACCCAAATGGTACAATAAAGGTAATGGAAATCTTTTATAATGAATTCTAGAAATATTCCCGACTATCTGCCTGACCCATGGGACAATACCCACTTCCTTCAATTTACTTTTCAACTATTTCATTAGCATCTCTGGCATTTACCCAGCCTATCATAAAAACGTGGAAAATCCCAAAACTGCAATAAACCCTTTTTGTTAACAACGTCACGTGTCCCAAATTCTTTCCCTTGATGTTAGGAACGCTTTGAATTTTTTTGTCTCGTATAGGTGAGTCCAGTACCTGAAAACTTCAATGTATTTTATTTCCCTTCCGCTTTTTCTTGCACCCTTAAGTATATATGTTTCAATGCTACCCAAATTTAGTTAGTTACAATTTAGCATTCTCCATAGAAACACTGGTCTACGAACTACTACTTTCTCATAAGTATTGGGTTAATTGCAAATTTTCTTACAATTCAACAGTCTAATCAGTATTTCTGGAATAAATATCAGTTTCATCTTAATACGAATCTGTGGTGAGCATTCATTCAGCAGAATTCGACAGAAGAAAAAATATTAAGAGCGCATCTGGTAAGAGATTTGAACAATTGGACAATTGTTCGGATTTTGAACAAATAATTGGATTTGGTTAAGGGTCACATGGAGGCAAAAAATTTAAATGGCTCCATAAAATTTTAAAATTTCAATGAATACCAATTTCGTAACGCAGAAAATAACATTTCAAACCCCCAGAACTAAGTCTCTACGTTAGTCAGTCCTCTTTGGAGAGGGCCAATAGAATAAATTGAAAAAGTCCGAATTTGCCCTGAGTTTAAGAGTTTTCCAGAGCATTAGACAGATGGCATTGATACATAATTCAGAAAGAATACACCGGGTATTTCAGTCAGAGGGGATATAGCCAGTCCAAGGGATACAATAATAAAGCAGCCAAAATATTCATTGACATTACATTATTAATTAATAATTCATGAATTACAAAATCTATCCTGATTTTGATAATTATTTTTGTATTCAAATCATTGAATAAAAGTCAGAAAGACAGAAACCTTTGTTTAGTCATTTTGGTATATCAACAACTTTGTTCCACGTTCGGGTAAGACTTTTATTTACCATTGTAAAGCAACAAGTGATACGACTCTATTCCAATAAATTCGTCTTAACGTTGTAGATTTTTTAGTATGCCAACAAATTAATTGAAATTAATTAAACGAATGTTATAAGAACGTGGAAAAAATTCAGTCATTTCTATTAAATTAATATTCTGTTTTATTTTTCAGAGAACTGACACCGATTTAATAATGGAGCCCATGGTTACATGTCCACTGGATAAAAATCATCAAATTCTGAAGAACCGATTGCAATTTCATCTGGTGAGATGCAAGAAGAATCATGACATGAGCAAAAAAGGCACGTGCGAGTACAATAGTACCCACATTATGGACAAACATGAATTACAGGTAATTATTCATTTAATTTTACGTAAATATACCATGAGAGTACTATTTGAATATTCTCTGGTAAAACAATTCTATCATTTTGTTCTTGTGACGAAAGTTCGAAATGGGTATTAGACAAATACTTTTCCTCTCAAGATATTTATCTTTTTCCTATAAAAAAAATGGTCCCAACTAATTGGAGTAAATTTATTTCTAGTGATAATTAAATATAGGCAATATTGTATGGTGCTTACAAATTGAATTGAAGATAGACCTATATAAAATCTATTTACTTTAATATGTATTCTTCTTTCAGGCTCATCACCTCACGTGTATTGATCGTTACGAGATAGAAGAGAAGCAGTATTCCCAGGATGAGGAAAATTGCGAGCAATGGAAAGGCATTCTTTCAGTGCAAGACGTGATAAAGGCCTGTGAGAACTTAGCAACTTACGGAGACAACTGGGACAATGTGAGAAGTCATTCAACGATTTGTCTGTTAAATCATTGAAATCTCATTTCGTAATGGAAATGTCTTTTTGCAGGATCCAGAGGTGGAGACATATGATCCTCACAAAGCTAACGAGAATAAAGAGATTATAACAGGCCTCATCGTCGCTTCGAAGTCTGCGAAAAAAGCTTTCAGAAATGAGCAGAGACGAAAGATGGCTCAGTTCGACAGCCCTAAAGTCTCGAAAGTTGCAACGGCAAAGGTGAATCAAGTAATTTTTACTTCATGAATGAATTATTTTCAATTGAAAAAACGAAATAATAATTTTTTACTCAGAATTCGATCAATTAATTGTCAATGTGAATGTGGTAATTCAAATTTTGTGGAATTTTATAGGTGCACGTATCAGCCAAACCCCAAAATGCTCCCAAGACTGGTCCATCGATTTCCACAAAAGACAAGCCAAAAGGTGTGGATAGGTCGGAGAAAAAAAATCAGAAAGCTAGCACGGTTGCAGATCAGCTGGCCGCCAATATGAAGTTCTTGAACATATGTGAGAAGAAGACTGAAGATTTTCCAGCTCTGAAACCACCCAAGAGCTTTTCCAGTATTGTAAAGGAACGTAAGACCTCAAAAAAATAAGACGTACCAAAAAGAACGAGTTGAGAGTAAGAAAACTCATGACTGATTACGAAGGATTTGGTAATGAATTTTTTTTCCATATAAATTAACCATGACTATTCCACCAGTAATATCATATGGAAATTCGAGTTTTTTAACTGCTTTGCTGCTGCATCCATGAATTCTAAAGAATCCTGCAAATGGGACAAAGAAATTATAAAGTCCCAAAATCCATTACATTTTATACGGGTATGAACAAAATTATTTGACTGATTCACTAGGAAAGTTTTACTGACGCTAAGATTATCCTTTTCCATAGGATGTAAATATTTCACTATCAGTGTGTAATACATTTCAAATCAGCCATTATTTAAGTCTTCGTGAATTAAAAAAACACTTTTTATCTCTCAGTTAACCTACTAATACGAATTTTAAATGAATTATCAAATGGGAATTATAGTATAAAAAAGAAGGAAATAATTTTATAATTATGAAACTGATCAATTATATTTTGGACTACGGATTTATTCTTAAAAATATTTAATAGCCGTATCTATTTTACTGCTTTCAGTAATTACGGTTTTGAAATAACGTTATGTTGTAAATCATCACCACTTACACATTTACCGATTATTTTTTCTCTCAGAAGTTCTACCAATAGAATCGTTCCATTCAATATTCTTCTGATTTATCTGCACGGTTTCTTAACAAAGTATTGATAATTCTATATTGTACTTTGTTGCCGTAGTATCGA